AGTATGTGGTGAAATAAGAGTTGTTTAAAAGAATTTATGGCTGAGGATTGTCGTATGGAGATGCGTGAAGAATTCCAGAAGGTGGTATCACGAATGACGAAGGATTTGCTGCAATAAGTAGTTTCATGGAGGGAATTTATTAGGATCGGGCAAACATTCCAATCTGCCCCCGAGGCAGGTGGAGAAGCTGCGAATCTCCGCATATTATACTTAAACGTCAAAACAAGAACTAATCTAGTTTCTACAGCAATACACACTGAAAAAGACATTTGTAAGCGTAAGGTTTTGAATTAAATGTATACTTTTTGGATATCTTCGTTCTTCGTTCAAACTCCAGAGGTATGTTTGAATGATAAGTCGACAACTACATGAGCTTAGAATCTGTTAATGTTATCTTCATGTCGTGGTATATCGAACATTAGAGCCTGTTATCTATGAATAATTCCTTACATTTCAGCCATTTTTTTTAGCCCTCTGCGCTTGCTAATAATTTACTTAAATCTAAGTTCAATTATCGTAGTTATTCGAAAGAAGGACACCTGTTAACTGAGGTTGGATAACAAAAAAGTACCTAAACTTTGAGAAAGAAAGATTTTTTTTTTAAATTAGAGTTACATAAGATTTGAGCATTTAAAAGAAAAAGGAAATAACGAAATCAGGAGAAATGATAAGGGTATTTGTCCAATTCGAATATTCCAATTAAATTGTCCAATAATGAATTACATTCATAGTTAAATTACATAGTTTCCGAAATTAAATAAAATACCTTTTCCAATTCCTGGAATTGTGAAAATACACGAGCAGTAGGATGATCGGAAGACGTTATGTAGTCTGGTCTTTTAGCACTGACGGCTGGTTCCCATAAACGTTTACGATGTGGTATTATACCTGGAAAATATATAATAATCACAGAGTTTTGATGTAAAATGCGCATGGTTTTGACTTTCTCGAAATTCTAATAAAAATCTCAGCCAGGGGGACGTCACGGTTAACATTGGAATATACAAGTATGTATGATGTAAAAAGAAGTGGTATCTATAAAAAAAAAAAAGTTAAGAAAGTACAATGTATTCAAGAAAAACTAAAAGTTAAGAAGGAGTTCACAGAAAAAGTCTTTAAGGAAAGAACAAAATCTGAACAAACTCTGGAAACAATAACATCTTTAAGGAAAGAGACAAATTAATAATATCTCAAAAAAACCAATGAAGAGAACTAGAAGGCTGAAAATGAATGCGAATTCTACCCTAATCAGGAAAGAAGGTTATGTTTTATATGAAGGTTATGATATAAAACAAATGATAGAAAAATATGGTAAATTCGCGGGATAAAAAATTAAGAAACAATGCATCTTGAAATAAAATTTCCAGCAGCTTCTCATTAAGGGAAATCCACGAACGAAGGCATGCTAAGGATCTCGATCCACAATAACCCAGGGAAGACGATAGAAAGAAAGGATAGCAAAAGCTTGTAACACGAGCATAATTAGATTAGGAGCTACCGACGACCATTTCATTTAACTGAAAGAATTATAGCTAATAGCCATAATATACTACTTACAGCTAATTGCTTTCTATACGAAAATTGAAAAATTAAAGTGGCGAAATTCGAAGTTTTATTTAGTAGAACAACTGATGGCTGAAATTTTAATGCGATGTAAAGAATATGCCCTTATAAGAGAATTCACCTTGGCTGACACTATACTTGGTTGCTTTTTAAAAACTTATGGAGTCAAAGTCATCAAAATTAGTCCAATCTAATGGTAGTTGGATGTAGAAAAATTCCAATAGCCATTTTTTCCTGTTTTTATGTTCTTTGGAATGCTGGATCTGAATTTGAAGTTTTAAAACTAAACTTTCCATTGCCTTCCGAGGTGTGTCCAAAAAAAAGGCGAATATTCTGTATTTTTTTACTTTCACTTATCATATATATGTAATATACATTATATAAGTATTGCGATCATGAAAATTATCGAATCTGAATTTTCAATGGAAACGCACGTTTTGAGGTCCTCTGAGTTCAAATAACCAAGTCTCGCAAAATGGACTGTGTATTGTGTATATATGAACAGTCTAACTCGAAAACGAAACGTCGTTCGAAAGTGAAATTGCATATTAAAGATTTGTATATACCTAGGACGTTACAACAATATTTTCTCGAAATCGGCTAACTGGAAGTTACACATTATTATAAACATTTTTACGATTTCCTCAAAAACCCCACTAACGATTAATCATTGTATAATTAAGTATTATTTAATATCATTTAGATCTTATCCCCATTGATGTCACTTTACAGGGATTAAATGCCCACTAGAATGTTTAGAAATAAAAATACATTCAGTAAATGTGAACGCAATAATATAATAACATAAAACCACTTCTTGAGAAACTACCCACTGGTAGCACTCTGAAAATGTATTCACAACAGGAGATCTCGGGGCCATCTTCTTTTTAGACGCGTTGGAGGGATATCAGGGATCGAGGAGGGAGCAAGATTAGAAACGAGAGGGTTTGGATGGTTCTGAAGTTTGTTATAGAAGGATAGGTATCTGGATTGGGTAAGGTTAGAAATATAAAGGTCGTTATGGATGATTTTATTTGTGACAAACTAAGGACCATCGAGGATTTTGGATTGTAAGGATTGGATACGAGAAGTATTCGATGGCTTAGTGGAGCCCTTAAAGTTCAACACCGTAAGTCCAAATAGGCCTTTTTGTAGTCATGTATATGAGTCTTTTTTAATTAGCTAGAAGCTTAAAGCGTTTATCTAGAAAGTGCTGGAGGAGTCAGAAACGTCGAGCGGTTTCTTGTCGTTTCAGTCTAGTATGAGGATGCAGGTTAGACGTTTGTCCTAGGTATGGGATTTGTTCAACAGTGATAAGTGGGGTATTATGAAAGGTTGCTGTAGGGCAGGAGGTCATAGGTTTACGGTGAAGGGTAAAGGTGATTTGATGGGATTTATTGGAATTTACTTTAATTCTTCAGTTTTGACACCATTCTTCAAGGTTTATGATATGTGATTGAAGAGTTTGGGATGCAATAGTTGGGTCATTCTTAACGGATAGAACATATATATCATTGTCATACGTGGTAATTACAGTGACAGGATGGTTTGTCAGCTGTATAAACTGTGTAAAGGATAGGACCTAGAATATTACCTTGAGAAATATCAGCGGACTGGGAAAAGAGAGATGAATAAGCATTATTGTGGTGTACTTTGATGTATCCATCTGTCAGGAAGGAACGGATAATGAGGAAATATATAGGATGTAGGAATTTACTGAGTTTGTAAAGCAGTCCCGGGTGCCAGACTAAATCAAAAGCCTGTTCCACGGCGAGAAAGACTCCGGAGCAGTACATTCGCTCTCCAATGCAGATGAGTTAACATCCACCACACGATGGCATTTCTGGATAGTGGAATGGGATCTGCGGAATCCAAATTGATGAAGTGGGATAATGTGATTGGAATCTAATGTAACTTAAATTTGGTTTATTTTAAATAACTAACTATCTCTCATTGTCAGGAGTTACGAAAAAATGTGAAATGCAACTTTTGAAAGAATTTGATACATATATATTTTTTTCCTATGCCTGTTGACTTTTTATGCCATGAGTCTTCTTCAGCAGCGTGGGGCTGTTATAGGCAACGGTAGTAATCGTTTGTTCTCTCTTCTTATCCAGGGAGCACGTGGTTTACAAGCCGAAGGCGACTTGTATAACGTCGTCATTAAGCCAGTTCTACTGCACGGTTGTCAAACGTTGGCTCTAGCCCTCACACTAGAAGCCAGAATTGAGAGATTCGAAAAAAAAAAGTCCTCCGTAAGATAAAATGACCTATATAGACCAGAACCTTGACACATGTAGGAGAAGGAACAATATCTCGTGGCATGAAGGCAAAGAAGATGGGCGGGGCATATAGCTCATAGCAATCCATCAGGACGCCTTTAAACAACAATGAATGACAGAGTAGTAGGCAAGAGATCACGTGGGAGGCCAAAAGCATGATGGATATTTGAGCTTCATGCCGCAAACTGGAAAGCAGTAGCCCAACATAGGCATTGATGGAGAAGGCTGGTTCAGGCTGCCAAAGATCTACAAGGTCTTAAGAGGCAACCGAGAAAAAAAAAAAAAAAAAAAAAGAACAATATTGCCAGAAAAATTTATCTATTCAAAAAAGAGCGGTAAGTGAAAGTTGTGTGTTGCGCGCAAACGACTTTTAGTATTTTGGTCGTCACTTTGAAACTAAGCATTTTATAGAAATTATTATTCTATACAAAGTTAAAGAAGATAAAGTCTGCTATAAATTGTAGACATAGCTTTTTGAAGTAGAACCAATGGGTGAGGAGTTGAAGCAAGTTGTCCCTTTGCTTATTTCACAAGAAATACCTCATTTATATCTCATGCAGATAAGATAATGTGTGAGAACTATTAAAGCACACGGACTTGAAAGCGTATATAAAGTAGGACGATCAGCTGACTAACATTTCGTTCAGTACCGAGCTGATTGTGTTTATTTCTAAATAAAAAGTAGTGTACGTAATGGAGTCTTGAGCTTACCTAACCTAAATAAACGATCGGTTAGGAAAGATTCTGTGTGTGACCTTAAAACCTATCGCCACCATCGAGTTGTGATTAGGAAATAGAACTCTAAATTCTCAGTAGATTTAAAATCATTTTAAATTAAAAATCAAAATCAATTTTTTAGCCCTCTGCGCTTGCTAATAATTTACTTAAATCTAAGTTCAATTATCGTAGTTATTCGAAAGAAGGACACCTGTTAACTGAGGTTGGATAACAAAAAAGTACCTAAACTTTGAGAAAGAAAGATTTTTTTTTTAAATTAGAGTTACATAAGATTTGAGCATTTAAAAGAAAAAGGAAATAACGAAATCAGGAGAAATGATAAGGGTATTTGTCCAATTCGAATATTCCAATTAAATTGTCCAATAATGAATTACATTCATAGTTAAATTACATAGTTTCCGAAATTAAATAAAATACCTTTTCCAATTCCTGGAATTGTGAAAATACACGAGCAGTAGGATGATCGGAAGACGTTATGTAGTCTGGTCTTTTAGCACTGACGGCTGGTTCCCATAAACGTTTACGATGTGGTATTATACCTGGAAAATATATAATAATCACAGAGTTTTGATGTAAAATGCGCATGGTTTTGACTTTCTCGAAATTCTAATAAAAATCTCAGCCAGGGGGACGTCACGGTTAACATTGGAATATACAAGTATGTATGATGTAAAAAGAAGTGGTATCTATAAAAAAAAAAAAGTTAAGAAAGTACAATGTATTCAAGAAAAACTAAAAGTTAAGAAGGAGTTCACAGAAAAAGTCTTTAAGGAAAGAACAAAATCTGAACAAACTCTGGAAACAATAACATCTTTAAGGAAAGAGACAAATTAATAATATCTCAAAAAAACCAATGAAGAGAACTAGAAGGCTGAAAATGAATGCGAATTCTACCCTAATCAGGAAAGAAGGTTATGTTTTATATGAAGGTTATGATATAAAACAAATGATAGAAAAATATGGTAAATTCGCGGGATAAAAAATTAAGAAACAATGCATCTTGAAATAAAATTTCCAGCAGCTTCTCATTAAGGGAAATCCACGAACGAAGGCATGCTAAGGATCTCGATCCACAATAACCCAGGGAAGACGATAGAAAGAAAGGATAGCAAAAGCTTGTAACACGAGCATAATTAGATTAGGAGCTACCGACGACCATTTCATTTAACTGAAAGAATTATAGCTAATAGCCATAATATACTACTTACAGCTAATTGCTTTCTATACGAAAATTGAAAAATTAAAGTGGCGAAATTCGAAGTTTTATTTAGTAGAACAACTGATGGCTGAAATTTTAATGCGATGTAAAGAATATGCCCTTATAAGAGAATTCACCTTGGCTGACACTATACTTGGTTGCTTTTTAAAAACTTATGGAGTCAAAGTCATCAAAATTAGTCCAATCTAATGGTAGTTGGATGTAGAAAAATTCCAATAGCCATTTTTTCCTGTTTTTATGTTCTTTGGAATGCTGGATCTGAATTTGAAGTTTTAAAACTAAACTTTCCATTGCCTTCCGAGGTGTGTCCAAAAAAAAGGCGAATATTCTGTATTTTTTTACTTTCACTTATCATATATATGTAATATACATTATATAAGTATTGCGATCATGAAAATTATCGAATCTGAATTTTCAATGGAAACGCACGTTTTGAGGTCCTCTGAGTTCAAATAACCAAGTCTCGCAAAATGGACTGTGTATTGTGTATATATGAACAGTCTAACTCGAAAACGAAACGTCGTTCGAAAGTGAAATTGCATATTAAAGATTTGTATATACCTAGGACGTTACAACAATATTTTCTCGAAATCGGCTAACTGGAAGTTACACATTATTATAAACATTTTTACGATTTCCTCAAAAACCCCACTAACGATTAATCATTGTATAATTAAGTATTATTTAATATCATTTAGATCTTATCCCCACTGATGTCACTTTACAGGGATTAAATGCCCACTAGAATGTTTAGAAATAAAAATACATTCAGTAAATGTGAACGCAATAATGTAATAACATAAAACCACTTTTTGAGAAACTACCCACTCTGAAAATGTATTCACAACAGGAGATCTCGAGGCCATCATCTTTTTAGACGCGTTGAAGGGATATCAGGGATCGAGGAGGGAACAAGATTAGAAACGAGAGGGTTTGGATGGTTCTGAAGTTTGTTATAGAAGGATAGGTATCTGGATTGGGTAAGGTTAGAAATATAAGGAATATTAAGGTCGTTATGGATGATTTTATTTGTGACAAACTAAGGACCATCGAGGATTTTGGATTGTAAGGATTGGATACGAGAAGTATTCGATGGCTTAGTGGAGCCCTTAAAGTTCAACACCGTAAGTCCAAATAGGCCTTTTTGTAGTCATGTATATGAGTCTTTTTTAATTAGCTAGAAGCTTAAAGCGTTTATCTAGAAAGTGCTGGAGGAGTCAGAAACGTCGAGCGGTTTCTTGTCGTTTCAGTCTAGTATGAGGATGCAGGTTAGACGTTTGTCCTAGGTATGGGATTTGTTCAACAGTGATAAGTGGGGTATTATGAAAGGTTGCTGTAGGGCAGGAGGTCATAGGTTTACGGTGAAGGGTAAAGGTGATTTGATGGGATTTATTGGAATTTACTTTAATTCTTCAGTTTTGACACCATTCTTCAAGGTTTATGATATGTGATTGAAGAGTTTGGGATGCAATAGTTGGGTCATTCTTAACGGATAGAACATATATATCATTGTCATACGTGGTAATTACAGTGACAGGATGGTTTGTCAGCTGTATAAACTGTGTAAAGGATAGGACCTAGAATATTACCTTGAGAAATATCAGCGGACTGGGAAAAGAGAGATGAATAAGCATTATTGTGGTGTACTTTGATGTATCCATCTGTCAGGAAGGAACGGATAATGAGGAAATATATAGGATGTAGGAATTTACTGAGTTTGTAAAGCAGTCCCGGGTGCCAGACTAAATCAAAAGCCTGTTCCACGGCGAGAAAGACTCCGGAGCAGTACATTCGCTCTCCAATGCAGATGAGTTAACATCCACCACACGATGGCATTTCTGGATAGTGGAATGGGATCTGCGGAATCCAAATTGATGAAGTGGGATAATGTGATTGGAATCTAATGTAACTTAAATTTGGTTTATTTTAAATAACTAACTATCTCTCATTGTCAGGAGTTACGAAAAAATGTGAAATGCAACTTTTGAAAGAATTTGATACATATATATTTTTTTCCTATGCCTGTTGACTTTTTATGCCATGAGTCTTCTTCAGCAGCGTGGGGCTGTTATAGGCAACGGTAGTAATCGTTTGTTCTCTCTTCTTATCCAGGGAGCACGTGGTTTACAAGCCGAAGGCGACTTGTATAACGTCGTCATTAAGCCAGTTCTACTGCACGGTTGTCAAACGTTGGCTCTAGCCCTCACACTAGAAGCCAGAATTGAGAGATTCGAAAAAAAAAAGTCCTCCGTAAGATAAAATGACCTATATAGACCAGAACCTTGACACATGTAGGAGAAGGAACAATATCTCGTGGCATGAAGGCAAAGAAGATGGGCGGGGCATATAGCTCATAGCAATCCATCAGGACGCCTTTAAACAACAATGAATGACAGAGTAGTAGGCAAGAGATCACGTGGGAGGCCAAAAGCATGATGGATATTTGAGCTTCATGCCGCAAACTGGAAAGCAGTAGCCCAACATAGGCATTGATGGAGAAGGCTGGTTCAGGCGGACAAAGATCTACAAGGTCTTAAGAGGCAACCGAGAAAAAAAAAAAAAAAAAAAAAGAACAATATTGCCAGAAAAATTTATCTATTCAAAAAAGAGCGGTAAGTGAAAGTTGTGTGTTACGCGCAAACGACTTTTAGTATTTTGGTCGTCACTTAGAAACTAAGCATTTTATAGAAATTATTATTCTATACAAAGTTAAAGAAGGTAAAGTCTGCTATGAATTGTAGACATAGCTTTTCGAAGTAGAACCAATGGGTGAGGAGTTGAAGCAAGTTGTCCCTTTGCTTATTTCACAAGAAATACCTCATTTATATCTCATGCAGATAAAGTAATATGTGAGAACTATTAAAGCACACGGACTTGAAAGCGTATTTCAGTAATACCTACCGGGGTAATATTTGCCGCATTCAACTTAAGTAATTTTTATCTTTTCAATTATTTTGATTCGGCTAATTTAACTAACACATAATATAACCGGAACATTTCTTTAAGATATGACTAGTTTAAGAATTTTGGGTAGAAAACTGACGATATGTATTATTTTTGGTTAATTACCTTTAATAGGACTTAAAGACTTACTTAAAAACCATTTAATATAGGTACTTAGTTTCCTTCTTGCTTCCGAAATAATTATCGTGAAAAAAAAAAAATGTATATCCTGAATCCGTTAGTATCGCTTACTATACATTCATTATTGGTACAACAGATGCATGTAGCGGTCCTTGGCCTGCTCAATTTCCTTTGCCCAGTCATCCCTGTTGGCTGCGCACCTGATTGGTATGCCGTTTTTTTCTCAAGTCTTCTTACCTTATCTATCCATCTTGCCTTCGGTCTTCCCCTAGACATAACTCCCTCTGGCTTCACATGATAAAGCCTTTTCGCTGTCCTCGCTTCATCCATTTTCAGGACACGTCCTAACCATTTCATTCGCTGCACTCGAGCGAATTGAGAGATAGACAGATCACCGTACATTGAGTATACCACTTTGTTTGTTCTCATGCGGGGAACTATTTCCACCAGTTTAGGTTCTATTATCCGTACTAGTATTTTCTTTTCAAACCGATCTATTCGTTCAGCAGATGCCTTTGGTTTCGCACTTATATGTTGCAACTGGCTGAACAATCGTTTTGTATATCATAAACTTCGTAGTACGACTTAACAATCTACTTTTCAGAAGGCTCAATAGAGAAAAGTACGCTCTGTTGGCAGCCATTGTTCTAGCTCCTATCTCCTCCTCTTCGTTATTGCTATTGTTAATTATGGACCCGAGGTAGAAGAAGCTTGGGTTTAACAAGTATGGTTTTCAAGACATAATGCTGTGATGGACAAGCATTTTCTTCCTTAAAACAAGGACGTTGGTTTTATTTTACGTACCATTTGCCTTTTGCGACAAGGTAGAGAAGGAACTAGATGCTGTAGAATGGGACGGATTTATAATAAGAGCGAATAACGGTGGCTGGGGCTCATGACTCGTTTTCATCCCCCATTTCATTACCTAGATGGTAATTTTCAATTGTGTTTCGGCTTCCTCCACTTTAAACACCTCATTACCCTATACCAAAGTTGCGAAGATTCCAGCTATGACAAGATTTAGGTTGCTTTGCTGAGTAGATTTTCTCCAAATCTTCAACTATACTCTTGAAAAAAAGAAAAGTAAACATATTGATCATGTTGATTACCTATCTAGATCATCAATGGAATTGGATTCGACAAGCGGTGATATATTCATTCACCTAATAATCCTCCAAAAGTCTCTCTACATCATTGGGAATAGCGTAGCAAAACTTTTGAGAGAGTACATATTCAATATACAGGTTATATCAATATCCCTAAGGCATCGGGTCTCCGTCACAAGTCGAACAATCACCTTACAGCAGGCTGCTTTTAGCTACTACATGGCAACCTGTTAATAGTATATAAGACACTCATCGATCCCAAATTCCAGCGCCAATTTACCAATAAGTAATATTGGTTATCACTGGTCGAAAACTAAAAAAATATATTTATGTTGACGTTCAATGAGAAGTTAGAAGTAAAAGTAGGACGATCAGCTGACTAACATTTCGTTCAGTACCGAGCTGATTGTGTTTATTTCTAAATAAAAAGTAGTCTACGTAAGGGGGTCTTGAGCTTACCTAACCTAAATAAACGTTCGGTTAGGAAAGATTCTGTGTGTGACCTTAAAACCTATCGCCACCATCGAGTTGTGATTAGGAAATAGAACTATAAATTCTCAGTAGATTTAAAATCAGCCTATGATTCCGTTTACAGAAACTATCTTTGGAAGATAATGAGTCAGCTTGTAGTCCGCGAGTATTTGGTGAGATTGCCGAAGGTATTGAAATATCACATCGAAAGTTTGTTACTTTTTGTTGATATTTTCCACTTATCTGTCATCAATGATGTATTTTATACCAGTACGGCCTGTAACTCTTTCCTTCCCCTTTTTAAACATAATTAAAGCGACTAGTTTCTAGTTATTGGTCCTTATATATTTATAAACCAACGGCTAAGACTGACGAAATTTTTCCTTTCATTATGAAAAACCCAAATGAAATGCTTGAACTTGTCTTAAACTTCCAACATTATTGAAGTACTAACTATTTACTACTTGATAGCTGTAACTACTTCTTACCTGATAGCTGTACCATTATATGAATAAACACACACTTTCTATTCCTTCTTATAAGTAAATTATAGAAAGATAAACTTTTAATCATATGATTTTTTATTTTCATTTTCCTTTTATAACAATATGCAAATAACATAAAAATAATTTTTATAATGTAAAATCAATTAATTTTACCACTAATACTAAATGGAAATATATGTATTCGAGAATTTGTTGAATAAGTTTTGATATATGTTTTAATTGTTGCATAGTTTTAATAATTTTAATGAAAAAAATATGTTTTGTAACTGAAGGCAACGCTGTTGTTATAAAAGATTTTTATAACCGGATGATTTAATTATAACTGAAATTCGTTGTGTGTGAAAAATCTGTTCTTGTAAAATTTGCCGAAATATAATCTTTGCTGTTAAAGTTGCACTGAAATATTGCTTTTCCAGTTTCCGTTATTCATGACTTTTGTAATACTAGTATTCCTTATAAAGTAATAGATTTATTAGTTGTATTCAACATTTATTTGTAATTGTATTCATTATCACCTTGAGATACAATGATTTCATCCGATTTTCCAAAGAAGAGGTTTGTAAATTAGATAATATTTCAACATCGTTTTTGAAATTGAGTGAATTGAAGTTGAGAGACCATTAGGTATAGGAACTTTTATTTACGCATGTTTATGATGAGAACTAATTTTAATTTCCTGATGATGAGTCCTAATTTTAATTCTGTTTGATTTGCGTGATGAATTTAAAATTAAATATTTTGAACTTGAAAATAGTGAGGCATTCTAAGCCGAAGTGGAATTTCTATTCTTTTCTATTTTATAAAAAATTTGAATCTATTTATACGTCTAGAAACATAATGTCTTGTTAAAATACTGACTCAACATGAGGTTCTAAATTGATATTTTATTAGTCTATGCAAATCGAAATAATTATTTTAACAATGTGTATCTTATTTATTTATTTATTTAGTTGCAATTAAGGTGCCATGTACAACAGCAAAGGATAGAGGCACCGTATTCCTGTTACATAATTACATAATTTAAATTATTTCATACAGTTGTATAAATGTGTATTTTATAATTTACTCTGTATTGCAATGTAACTCTCAGTTGTTTAATAATACACATAAATAACAAATGACTAAGAAATAATGGATATAGATAAAATCTGGGTTCAATAATAGAACCGGTACCGTTTTGTCTTGACGATCTTAATTCATACTTTGAATTATTGCTTTTCCTGGTCCATTCAGCCCATTCTGATCATCATTGGCAGTACATTCCTCTTTAATTTCTCAAGTTCCTTTTTAATTCATCCGAGAGCCTAATATGGATTCTATTATATACTCATTTTACATGAACGAGAGAACAAACGAGAGAAAAATTCCAAATCCTCGAGATCAGATTAACACTGGTGATTCCATATAGAGACACAGTTGTCAACATTTACTTGTGGCTAAATGTACAATACGTTTGCTAAGTGAACAGGACTAATCAAGGTGCCTACTGATCAGCATCTCTTTGATCTGACTGCCCTCCCGGCCCAAGGTAGGATCTCTGTAGGGCCGATAATGATTTATTGACCTCATATCGATCACTTCCTGACCTTTATTTACTAATTGTTCGCATAATATTGACTTCATATATCATGACAGATCTCTAACGTATTGTTCTCAAATGTATAAAACATAATAAAATAAATAGGAAGCAATAATTTTAATGATAAAAAAAAATCTACTGTGAAATTTGATTCAATATCAAAAAAACTAACATAGAAATAAAGCCAGCTCTAATTTCATTATTCTTTCTTACCCAAATATCTAGGAAGACTTGAAGATTCGTGCCAGCTTTAATAACTTACAGCAAGTATGGGTTCTTGGTGGCATGGAGGTTACTGGCATTGAAAAGACAGACAAGCTTGCAAGAAACGGCGCTGAAGTCCCTGAAAGAACCTGCATTAAGCACTTCAATGAATTCTTGACGGATGGAAGGACTTTACTGGAGCTGGAAAGAAGCAGGCAACTAGTGGAGGGAATGCTTAAATCTCAGGCAAGCTAAGCAGTTTATGAAAAATACTTCCCCACTAGAACCAAGTGGCTCCTTGGGCATTAATAGAAACGAACTTCGATTAGTTATCTGAGTATTCATTTACTGGTCACTGCGTAATATAATGTCATTTAAAGATGTGGGGGTAGTAACGGATGAAATCTGCCATTTGTGCGGCCAGAAACTGCATTACCATTTGATATGCGTCGAATAGTTTTTAGTTTCTAATAGAATCTTAGAACAGAACGCTTCGCTCATTAAATGACTATCCCTTTTATATTTCATTAGTTAAATTAAAAGGTTCAAGAAGGAGGAAAAATACGTCTCCATTGATATATTAAACTTGGGTTGGCAATACGGACCATCCGCGCATTTGCCAGACTCGTTCCACCTTTTCTATCCATACCAGTAATGATACTCAAATATCCGCTACAAACAGCGCTCGCTATTGGTGAAATGAATATGATATACTCATTAAGAATATGATATCATACTTTACTTAGATGTCAATATCATATTTTTACTTATTTACTTATGCCTCCCTTCCTTGCCTTTCGGCTACACGGGATTTTTCAGAGATGGCATATCACACACGTGCATGCCATTCCTGCTATAAAACCACAAATTAATTGCCTTTATTTTTCAAATCTCTTATTTTTTCATTATTTTATTTTCACCATATTAGTCTGGCCGCCTTCCATTAGCAGGTCGTCTTCTTCCCAGATTAAAGTGGGAGGGCCCCAGAGCAGCTTATCATACTTTTACTTTCTCAGCTATAATGTACGAGCCGTAGTGATACAGAAGCCTTAGTATTTTATTCAGTATGAGACTCGTCTTTAACGCTGGTCTTTCCCCCCTTCCACTCCCCATTAACCAATGTGATGTATTTCAAAGTTTCAAACAAAATTTTTATTTTGGAATGGAGGGCGAAAGTGTGCTGTTAGGCATTGAAGCAAACACGGTAGAAGAAGCACTGCTAAATATCAAGAAAGTTAAACAATCTCAGAAAAAAAGTCGGTTGAGGATTTTAGCGAATACTTCTGATATGGAACAGGTCCAGATCAAACAAAGGGCTAATATAATTCCCATGTAACAGGTTCTGTATCACCTATAAGAATGAACAAACAATTAGAAATTAAGTGTGAATGTGACCGGAGGCAGAGCAAACAATGGATTTTACACCACCCAACCGCAAAAATGACTAATATTCAGAAAATCCAGCTCATGTTGTCATCAAATGCACAAATATCTCCTTCTCCACCGCCGTCACATTGATATAAAGAAGCAAATTTCTGAACTGCTGAGAAAGAAAACTAATAAAAGTTTTAAATAAGTATATTATATAGATTGTAGATATTCAAGCCAAGATACAATGAGACGGGAAGGGAATTTTCATAAATTATATTCCCTATGTACAAGAAAATTTAGATAGAAATTTTGAGAAAGAGGATTTTCAGTAAGCAATATTTAGTTTGGAAGTAGAGGAATTATCTGTCAAATAATTTTTTGGATAGGATTAATTAATGTGCAGTACCACTTTATAGTGGGTGGATGGTGTAATAGAAATGGTGTAATAGTTCCTTACCTACAAATTGACCTTATCAGCAATCATTGACTAAGCATATTTAATCACTTTGGATAAATAATTTTAATAAAATTAAAATCTTGCGGACATAAGAGTATATTTCATCTGATCAATTAAATATACATTACAATTTATGCAATGCATGCAATTGCGAGAAACCTGCTCTTGCTCGGAAGTTATTCCTCATTTTTGGATTGTTTCTTCTCCACATCCACGGGTAAGCTTTTTTTTACACTGGCTTTCGCATCTTTTTCAAGATCTTCTTTCTGTTTTTCATTTAACTTAGATTTTAATTGATCGATTTCTTCTTTAGTGCGTATCCTAATTTTTGAGGGAACATTCATAAACCTGCAAAGCACGCAAAAAATAGATTATATTCAAATATTTTAAATATTTAATGAATAAAAACATTTTGATAATGTATTATTTACTAGTTAGCTAGGAAAACCTAACATGGGCCCTAACAAAAAATGACGAAAAAGGCCTTTTGGTCTTTGAAAGCAAAATCCTTAGAAAAATATTTGGCCCTGTGATGAGGGACTGGAGAATTCGGAAGGATAGACAGGTCTACGAATTGTTTAATAAACCTAATGTGGCCAGAATACCAAAATTAGGAAGGTTGAGTTGGGTAAGACAAATTTAAAATTCGTGACAAAATGCCGATAAGAGTGCTTGAAGAGCCATTACACTTACATTTAATGGAATCTTTGTTCAAGCTAGAAAACTTATTTCCCTACAGAATGTGGCCGGTTAAAATAATTTTTACACCTGCCGACGTTGAGAACCAAATAAAACCATCCTTGCTGCACTCTGAATATTTGTATAAATTCTCGTGGATGAAATAGCTCAAGGGCTTGTGTCTTTTCCGGCATTGGGGATTTAAGAGACAGCTTGGCCTACACAGACCGGGGAGATGGGAGTCTTGACAGATTTTGGACCTGGGCTTGACGGGATGAGCTCGAACCAGTAGATGCATTGATTGAACGACCAACATAGCCTAACCACATCGTATTTAAAGCCTCATATAACTTTTAATTCCCAGTAATAGATTTACTAATGTTAAAATATTTAACGTCATCCGTTTTGTGGGAATAAAACATAGCACACCAGAACCTTGCTTATCACCCAAATCCTCTTGCGCAATGCCTATAAAGCACCACTCATCCCTATAATCCTTCTAGAAGGTTAAAACAGCAGTGGACCCTCGACCTTCTGTAGTTTGTATAAATTGGAGTTCTGGAATGGTCAGATTCTCAACTCAGACATGAGTGTATGTGGATATAGTGCACTCGATCTATCTCCAGTGACTTTAGTACCAGTGAAGCGATTGAGAGAATAGCGCAGGGATCTCCTGGAGTCCTGCTTTTCCCTCCATAGCTAGAGGAACAAGCGAACCTCGGAGTTACCTCGCCCGATTGTAAATAGTGTATATAGGTATACATGTGTTTTTTTTTTTATTTAATTTACTTGTCGTTAAGTTATTTTACTCTATTTATTGAATATACATTTTAATTAATATCTAGTTATTTTTCTTCTGTTTTATATTTTTTTTCATGTAGTGCACGGGCGGATC